CAACAAGAAATTGATCCCAAAAATAATTGTTCCTTGAACAATTCTTGAAAAAAAGACAATGTCTCGGTACACTGGGGAAGTGAAAATATGGTCCATCTATAAGTCGCCTAGCTCCTACGATCATCTGGGTACTGCATTATCTTCAAAGCTTCTACTTCATCTCTTACTTTCAGAAATCTTTCGAGCTAGTTTGTGACGTTTAACTGTGGGCTTCAACGTTGAATCTTCTCGAGTCCAACTTACTATTTCAGCAGGTAGATATTTGGTTTGTCTCCTTAATAAATAGACTCCCTCTTGACGCTGCTCGATCTACGTAGATCATCTTTGAAATTCTTCCGATCCTAGAGATAGGCATTGCTGTGGGCATTGCTTTTCAAGAACCTTCTAAATGATTAATTATTTAAGGTATCAATACCTTGAATGGTATGTCATGTTTATGCAAAAATGAAATAAAACCAGACAAAAGGAAATCTATGTTAGTCATAGAAACAAGACAAAAACAATCAAGTCAGTTGAAATGATTAGTTAAAGAAATGTAATCTTAGCAAAAATAATTAAATATAACTTAAAGTTGAGATTGAAAAATAAAGCGTACAAAGGAAATTAATAATCCTAACCACATGCATTTTAGTTCTCCTAGGTTATCCACATGGCTCTAGCGGGGTAGGTTTACTAAATTCTCTATATGAGGCTAGGTTCTAGCAAAGGTTCCCGAGCCATCTTGTCAACCTGGTAAGGTTGACTCCGATTTTGGCCCATTATAGACTTACGAATCATATTCGACTTAGGGGATCACACCACTAAAAACGTACCTCAAATCTGATATCTGGATAGGCAACTTAGGATGCTTTCTAGAGATACTTTATCAGACCCACACAAGGAAGCCTAATGCTCCTCGTGAGGTGTGACGTTTCTCCCTACTTAGGTAAACCGAGTTTGAGCTCGGGTTTAGAGCTATGATATGCAATAATCCTAAATATTCATAGAAGTGTAAGCATTAATAAGAGCGAAAACATTTTATCTTTTGAAATAACATAATGAACTGTAAATTAAAACAAGATCGAACTCATAATTTCCTAAAATCCTAAATATAGGGTAACCAAATCGTGGCTCGAATCTCAATTTGTTTTAAAAAAAAAATTTCCCCAGTGGAGTCGTCAAGCTGTCGACACCCTTTTTTGCCCGGGAAGAGAAAAGACCGATATCGACTCGGGGTTTTCTCTTTAAAAGGGTTTTTCGAAATGTGAGAAGTCACCACCAATCATTTAAGGTGTGATTGGGACACCATAAAACTAGATGATTTTAATAAAACATTTTATTTTTATCAAAATACCGAGTTTTAAGGTCTGCAAAAATCCATAAATCGGGTTCGAGAGTTAGTTATGCGTGGGGAAGGATTAGCACCCCACAAGCGCCCAAATATTTGTAACTAGTTAGTTAATCGGGCATCTTATGGGAATACTCGACTCGAATTGCTCCTTAGCTAAACTAGAGTGTCATCCTAATTGCTAAGCTTGATTCGAATATTAACCTAATTTAAAATTAAATCTAAGAATTAAAGCCATGAAATATCAAAACAATTAATAAACATAATTAAAAAAATAAAAAACAAAAAAAAAACAAAAAAAAAATAATGAAAAAAAAATAGAATAAAAAATAAAATAAACATAAGTACAAGGACCTAATTGCATAAAATAAAATAACAATGTCTAAAATGTAAGAAAATAAAAGTTAGTAGTTAAATAAGAAATTAATAGTGACCAAAATGCAAAAATTAAAATAATAGTAGCTAAATCAAAAATTAAAAAGTAACTAAAATGAATAAATTGCAAATATCACATCCAAATCATAATAAAATAAGAAGCAGAATCCAAACATTGGCTAAAATGAATAAACGTAAAAACAGTGACTAAATTCGAATAAATCAGAATAATAATAGTGACTAAATGAAAATAAAATAAAACAGAATGATAAAAGTGAAATAAATTAGAAAAGAGAGATCTAATATCCAAAATGAAAAAACATGACAAACATTGGGGGACCTGTACAAAAATAAGCCAAAATGTCAATATTAAAAACTTAAAATGGTAAAATAACAAAATAAAGACAAAATATTTGAAAATAATTGAAATAAGCTGAAATGGGGACCAAAATGAACTCGAGAGAGAACTGAAGTGATTGCGCGCGTGATTAGACCATTGGATACCAAAACACAAATCACCAGGGGATTAAACGACGTCGTTTGATTTGGGTATAAATACCATTCCTTCTCTTTTTTTCCTCATTTATGCTTCCCCACACTCTTTCTTCCTTCTCAAATACTCTTCATTCTCTCTTCTTTCCCAGAAACTGGCGACGAGTGCTTTCACCAACAGCCGCGCTGATCGCTGATCGCTGATCGCCTCCGTCTCCCATGGCTGATGGCCACCAAATTTTAAGATTTTGCTTAACTTGGCGTCGTGAGGTCGGATCAGTGCTCGATTTCATGTGAAATGGCCTCCAACACCATGAAATAAGGCCGAGACCCTTTGGCTTCCAATACTCCGATTTATCTTCTCCGCCGTTGGATCGATCCGATCTTGAAGTATGATGTTCCCCTCCTCCAACTCCTTCTCCTCACCGTTCGGATTCGGGGATGGAGGTTCCGAAAGCTGGTGAATGCTCCTGCCAAGAGGTAATTTCTTATTCTTCTTCCTTTTTCGGTTATTTCAAAGAAAAATAAAATATATAGAAAGTTGTTTTTATTGCTTTCGAAATGAAGGGCTCCCCTTTACATTGTTGTTGTCTGGGTTTTTATATTACCCATTACATGTAAAAATTAAAATTAAAATGTTGATGTTGTTGTGGTTGTGGTTGTTGGATCGATATGATGGCAGGGTTGGTGGAGTAGTGACGGTGGCAGAGGGATGAGCTACTGGCTTGGAACTGCTGGGATTTAGTAGTAGCAGGGTAACCGTGGCAGGGGATGATGGTGTCAGGAACAGTAAGTGGCAAGGTATAGTTTCTCACATTTTAAATTAATTTGTTTTGGGATAAAATTGGTGATTACAGTCACCAAAAGTGATGATGTAGCATGTTTCATGTCACCTAAAGTGATAATGTGTTATGTATCACATCAACAACTAATCATATGTGGAAATATCACATTATGAACATGTATCGATCGTTAGTCAACTAACAGTTTCCTTTCAACAGAGAGTATTTTGACCAAAAATTGTAACATTAACGCCTAAAATGCTCCAAAAAAGAATATGAGCCAAAGTGACAATTTGTGCAAACATTGAGAGTAATTTTGTTATTGTTCCTTTAAAAAATATTTTGATGATAAGTTACACCATTAGTCACCAATATTACAATTTTTCTATTTATTTAATATTTTTTTGATAATATCATCACTAACATTAACTTTTTTATTTTGATTATTAATTTTGTTTTTTTATTTTATCTACCTCCCTTTAAAAAACAATAACGATGATGACGTGATGTTTTTTTTATCTTCTAAGCGGTAGGGAAAATACAAATGACTTACTTTGTATGGTTATTTGAGGAAAAGTACACAGATATTGTCCCTTTTTTATATTTTTTTCAGATTTTTTTTAAACTTAGAGTTACACTTAAGAGTATCGGAGCTAGTAAAAAAATAATATTCAATGATTTTTAAGCTTGATCTTGAGATTAAAGAAAGAACTAATTTTAAACTCGTGTAATGTAAAGTACATTCGTCGTAATAAAATATTTAATATATACTTTTAATAAAAAATTATACACATATGTAAAATTTAATTTTTTTTAATAAAGATACTTATAAAGGCATATTGTCTATTTTTTGTAGGAATGAGTATTTGATTGCGTAGAATCTAATTAAGTAGGAAAAAATTAGGTTAATCGAGTTTATGAGTATCATTTATCATTTAAATTTTATTTTATTTTTTTCAATCTAGTCAAATCAAATATATATGTTCGACTTTATATTCAAATTTAAATATATTATGTATATATTATGATACTTATTGGTTTCAATTTAAACGACTCTTCTTAATCATATAAAATATACATATATATTTTTTCATATTCATTTTAATGTGTATGTCAGATTTATAATGTTATGTAATAAATAAAATACTATCTAAAATTATATAATATATTTTATTTTTAAAAGAAAAAAGTATTTATGCGAGTATAAAGGAATTAAGGAATTTTTTTAAAGGGAAAGGAATTAAGGAATTGATGAGAAAAAAGAATTTGCAAAGAGTTGTAGTCGAAGGACTAAATTAAACAAAAGACAAAATTAATAGATTGAATTGAAAAAAATAAGGTTTTTTTTTTAAAAGATGAATTAAAGTTGCACTTGTATTCTACAATAGTTTAGGAGCATATTCACTTATAGTTCAAAATTGATAAAAAAAAAGGGGGGCATAAAATGAAGGAGGAAGTGAATAAATGAGAAAATTAAAGACCAGATCACAAAATAATCGAATTACTTAGCTAAAGATCGAAACAATGTTGTTCTATGTATTGTTTTTCCAATTATTCAAACTTTGTATATTCAAACTCGACTCGAATTCGAAATTCAAACTAATAATTTGAGTTGACTTGAATAACCCAAAATTTTGGTTTGTGTTTTAAGAAAGGGATAATGACAAAACTACCCCCAACGTTTACACAAATGATCATTTTGACCCCTATTCTTTTTTTGAAACATTTTAATCCTAAATGTTTCAATTTTCGATCAAAATATCTCATGTCGAAAGGAGATCGTTAATTGACTAACAAACAATATATGTTGATGACGTGACTTTTGTTGTTAAAAGTAGGGCCTCGTTAAAAAAAATCCTCATATCAATGTCATATCTAATACAACAACCGATAGATAGCTGAAAAAGGAAAAGAAGCGCAGGAAAATTTTATTAAATACAAAATCGAAACGATCCAAAATAAAACAAGCTTAGCACCCAAGCAGCCAACAACTACTTAAATCTAAGATACTATATCATATCCATGTATACAACAATAAGCATAACCAACTTTAAAGCACTCAACCAATCCCTCTTTTTACTAAAGAGTCTACTTCAACATTGAAACCTCTAGGACTGCGCCTAATCATAACATGATTATCGTTGATGGTCTTTTCAATATCCTTAACTAGGGAAGCATATAACAAGGGACTTTTCTCTGGATGGAGAACCCAATCGACTGCAGCTTCACTATCACTTTCAATAATCAACCTCGACTCGAAGCTATTAGCATCTTCAAAATACCATTTCAGCCCAGTCTTCAAAGCCAGCAATTCAGAAAGGGTAGGAGGACCATTTCCTATTCTTTCCGATAACGATCCCAGGCAAGAGCCACCATTATCCATGAGAATTCCACTGACACCACCTAACGAGCTACCTCTAGAGATGGAACTGTCGACGTTTAATTTAAGATACCCAACTGGTGATGGCTCCCAAGCTGTCTTAGCCTTTGAATAATTTCTAAATAACTTTAATTTTTCTGCCAAATAAGGGTTAGCAATAAGCTCCTCACGAGAAATATCACTTGCAGGGTAAACCTCTTTGAACCAGCAAGCAAGTCTAGTTCTGGCTAGAAAGAAGATTTGAATAACATCTACCACTTTGTTGCCAAAGACTACCTCATTTCTCCTAAGCCAAACAGTCCATAAAACACTAAAAGGAATAATGTGCCATATAGAGTTTGAAGAAGATATGAAATGTAACTCATGCCACGCTTGGAGGAAGATGCCTGGCATCTTTGGGAAAACCAAATACACCCCCAGAATGCAACAAACTTCATCCAAATATTCTACACATTATCAAACTGAAACAAAAGGTGAGAGACAGATTTCAAACCACCCCCACACAAAGGGCATGAGCAATCCGAGAATGAAGATCACCCCTCTTCAAGGGTTCAACTCTTACCAGAATACGAATACGGGAACTCAACCAACTGAAGAGTTCCGCTTTCAGAGGTGCAACCCCTTGCCACACCATCCTCGACCAATCAACATCTGAGGAAGGGCAAGAGAGCAATTTAATAAAAGAACTTATCGAGAACCCTCCGTCAGACCAGCATACCGAGTCCCTATTAATATTGCTTGATCGAAATTCTTGTAGTGCTTGAATTAAGTTGTTCCATTGCTCTAATTCCCAATCAAATAGTTGTCTCCTGAGCAAGATGTTTCATGACTTGCCCATACCTTCCTTGACTCCAAAATCCGCTATAGTTCCCAATTTATTGCAAGCGAGGGAAAAGATTCTAGGAAATTTGGACTGCAACAGAGAGTCACCATGCCATAAATCTGTCGACACTCATTTTTCGTCTCGTCTTTTAATATTATTATATATTATTATTATTATTATTAATATAACAGTTTTTTTACAGGTTATATGACTCGGATCCAGATCTGTTACAAGATCCGACCCGGTGGCAGCAACTCCACCACAGTCACCCATGCCTCCCACGTGGATCACTTCAACCTAGCAGCAACTCGTGTACGCCCTTTCAGCACCCCCAACCGAGCTGCCCACGTGAAACCTACAACAAATCCATATTAAAATATCTCCAAAGTCAGCAAATAATTAATCACTTTACCTGCTCCAATCAAAATTTCACCAAACACAAGGAAATTAACAGAAGATGGCAAGAAGATTCGGTGAAGAAGAGGAGATAAAATTGGGGAGTAGATTCGCATACCAGGGGGGATCGAAGAAAAAAAAGGAAAAAAGACAGAGGGCTCGGTTTTTCAACAGGGGGAATTCACAGGGGAACGAAAAGCTAAAAAAAGATCATTTGTAATAGAGGATTGAGCCTCCATTGAAGAAAGACATAACCATTGTAATCATTCAACTTCAACCAAGAATAGAATACTGAACGGAGTTTTTTTAAGGTATATATATATCATTTTCTTTGTTTGTTTGTTTCTTTTATTCAAATCAAAACCAACAGTGGAATCATAGGCTCATTAGGTGTTTAATAATTTCACATTTCAGCAAGAAATCATACACGAAAATTATAAGCAAAATAGGATTTCGATATAAAAATAATAATATTAAAATAAAGAGGATTTGGGGTTGATTTACCTGAGTCGTGCGAATTTCAGTGGAGTCTCGATGACTCCATGTTATTGTCGTTTGGGTCTCGTTGACCAGTGTGAAGAGCTTAGAAGCTCTTTGATGGGTGTTGAAATTGGCTCTGTGTGTGGCCGAGAAAGAATTGGGAGAGTGGAGAGAAAGGAGGCGCATGTTCTGTGAAGTTGGGATTGGGTTTAGTATATATATTATTTTATTTAAGTTAAATACTAAGCTAAAGTTACAAACCAAATGGCAGTGTTTAGGTTTAGTGAAACTCACGCCTGGAAAAAGGAAAAATCATGTGTGTGATCCTCTGATCTTTAAATTATTGTGTTTTGGTCTTCAAGTTTCTAAAGTTTCTATTTATGGCTCCTAAGTTGACGCGTATTTCATGTTAGTCCTCAATTCGAGTTTTTTAAGTTTTTAATTTGGTCTTTATATTTTATGCGCATTTGATTTTAGTCCCGGATGCTAAGATATTTTTTTTTCATTTACACATTTGGTCTTCAAGTTTTTGCATGTTCTATTTTAGTCAAATTGGTTTGTTAAATTGAATTTTACATTGTTTATGTTTTTGGCCCACTACTTTAAAAGTTTTTACTTTAATCCCTATATTTATCATCGGATCCCTTTAACTTTAGTGATAAGGTTGCTTTTTTAGTTAGTGGATCATTGTGCTTATGTTTAAAGTTAGGTTCTTTTAACTATGTAATATATTTGTTGACTAACTCACGTGGTTGTTGTGTTATATATATTATGTATGTTTACTTTACTTTTATATTGTATATTAAAAGTGTGGTAATTCCCATAATATATTATATGTCTTTTACTTTGTAAACATATATAGTATATAATATTTTGTAAACATATATTTAATTATATTATATATATAGGTTATATATAGTAGGTAGAATGTATATCTATTTTATTATCCATATTATGTAATACATATTATAGCATATATGCGTAACACTTTTTTATATATATATATATATTATAATTATTTTTAGTAATTTACTCATATATATATGATTTATACATATTATTATTTTTATTAAACATCAAATTATTAATATATATATATATATATATATATATATATATATATATATATATATAGTTGATATTTAGTATTGGTACAAAATCAATTTTGTTTGTTTGCATATAGTTAGTCATTTTTTACATGAATAGTATAATATCTTCATTAATATCACTTAACTCGATTTGAAATAAATTGACTAAGAGTAATATTCGATCATTTTATAATTATCGAAAGAAACTTTCTAATACGTGAATATTTAATCTATTTTAATATATAACATTAAGTATTAATATTAGAACTTACATTTTAGATTTGAGCCCCCTATGTTCCTTAATTTTCATAATTTGACATTTTAAGTTAGAAAAAGGCCTTGATTTACTTTTAGTCTAATTAGGACAAATAAAAATTTATTTGATTGCGTTGTTTTTACAAATCTAAGGCACTGTTCACTTACTAAGGAATTAATAGTATATCCTCCGCGATCGTGCTCAGGGGGTGACTACTGGTAATTCCCCAAATAAGTCGACATCCTTTTTAAACCACATCATGTTTTCTAAAAATGAGGCAATGTTCGGTTATTAGACAGAATAGCTGATCTCCCGCATTTACGCTCGGGGGCGAATGTTATCGGTCTCAATAAACGAATACCCTTTTCAAACTCTGCATCCTTAATGATTTTTAAATTAAATAAAGATCGAACTCAAAATTTCTGATTTTAAATATAGGGTAATCAACTAGGTACCAATTTTTGGGCGCTTGTGGGGGTGCTAATCCTTCCCCACGCGTAACCGACTCCCGAACCTGATTTCTGGTTTTTTGCAGACCCCAAAACTCGGTATTTTATTAAAATAAAATGTTTTATTAAAATCACCTGGTTTTCACGGTGTTCCAATCTCACCTTAAATGATTGGTGGCGACTCCTCACCTTTCGAAACGATTTTCAAAGAGAAACCCCCGAGTCGGTAACTGTCTTTTCCCTTCGGGCGAAAAACGGTTGCGACAGCTTGGCGACTCCGCTGGGGACTTTTGTTTTTAAAACAAATTGAGAGTCGAGCCACGAGTTGGTTACCCTATATTTATTATTTGGAAATTACGAGTTTGATCTTGTTTAATTTACGGTTCATTATGTTATTTCAAAAAGCCAAAAAAAAATTTCTCTCCGGTTAATGCTTACACTTCTGTGAAATATTTAGGACTGTTGCATATCATAAGCTCTAACTCGAGCTCAACCCGGTTTACCTAAGTAGAGAGAAACGTCACACCTCACGAGGAGCATTGGGCTTCCTTGTGTGGGTCTGCCAAAGTATCTCTGGAAAGCACCCTAAGTTGCCTATCCGAATATTAGTTCCGAGGTACGCTTCTAGTGGTGTGATCCCCTGAGTTGAACTCGATTCGCAAGTCTATAATGGGCCAGAATCGGGGGGCAACCTTAGCAGGTTGTAAAAATGGCTTGGGAACCCTTTGCTAGAACTCAGCCTCATATAGAGAATTTAGTAAGCCTACCCCGCTAGAGCCATATGGATAACCTAGGAGAACTAGAACGCATGCGGTTAGAATTATTAATTTTCTTTGTATGCTTTATTTTTTTAGTCCAACTTTAAGTCATATTTAATATTATATTTTTTTGACTAATCATTTCAACTAACTTGATTCTTTTTGTCTTGTTTCTACTAACATTGATTTTCTTTTATATGCTCTTATTGCATTTTTGCATATCATATCACAACTCACGTGGTTGTTGTGTTATATATATTATGTATGTTTACTTTACTTTTATATTGTATATTAAAAGTGTGGTAATTCCCATAATATATTATATGTCTTTTACTTTGTAAACATATATAGTATATAATATATTTTGTAAACATATATTATTTAATTATATTATATATATATAGGTTATATATAGTAGGTAGAATGTATATCTATTTTATTATCCATATTATGTAATACATATTATAGATATATGCGTAACACTTTTTTATATATATATTATAATTATTTTTAGTAATTTACTCATATATATATATATATGATTTATACATATTATTATTTTTATTAAACATCAAATTATTATATATATATATATATATATATATATTTAGTTGATAATTTAGTATTGGTACAAAATCAATTTTTGTTTGTTTGCATATAGTTAGTCATTTTTTACATGAATAGTATAATATCTTCATTAATATCACTTAACTCGATTTGAAATAAATTGACTAAGAGTAATATTCGATCATTTTATAATTATCGAAAGAAACTTTCTAATACGTGAATATTTAATCTATTTTAATATATAACATTAAGTATTAATATTAGAACTTACATTTTAGATTTGAGCCCCCTATATTCCTTAATTTTCATAATTTGACATTTTAAGTTAGAAAAAGACCTTGATTTACTTTTAGTCTAATTAGGACAAATAAAATTTTATTTGATTGCGTTGTTTTTACAAATCTAAGGCACTGTTCACTTATTAAGGAATTAATAGTATATCCTCCGCGATCGTGCTCAGGGGGTGACTACTGGTAATTCCCCAAATAAGTCGACATCCTTTTTAAACCACATCATGTTTTCTAAAAATGAGGCAATGTTCGGTTATTAGACAGAATAGTTGATCTCCCGCATTTACGCTCGGGGGCGAATGCTATCGGTCTCAATAAACGAATACCCTTTTCAAACTCTGCATCCTTAATGATTTTTAAATTAAATAAAGATCGAACTCAAAATTTCCGATTTTAAATATAGGGTAATCAACTAGGTACCAATTTTTGGGCGCTTGTGGGGGTGCTAATCCTTCCCCACGCGTAACCGACTCCCGAACCTGATTTCTGGATTTTCGCAGACCCCAAAACTCGGTATTTTATTAAAATAAAATGTTTTATTAAAATCACCTGGTTTTCACGGTGTTCCAATCTCACCTTAAATGATTGGTGGCGACTCCTCACCTTTCGAAACGATTTTCAAAGAGAAACCCCCGAGTCGGTAACTGTCTTTTCCCTTCGGGCGAAAAACGGTTGCGACAGCTTGGCGACTCTGCTGGGGACTTTTGTTTTTAAAACAAATTGAGAGTCGAGCCACGAGTTGGTTACCCTATATTTATTATTTGGAAATTACGAGTTTGATCTTGTTTAATTTACGGTTCATTATGTTATTTCAAAAAGCCAAAAAAAAAAATTCTCTCCGGTTAATGCTTACACTTCTGTGAAATATTTAGGACTGTTGCATATCATAAGCTCTAACTCGAGCTCAACCCGGTTTACCTAAGTAGAGAGAACGTCACACCTCACGAGGAGCATTGGGCTTCCTTGTGTGGGTCTGACAAAGTATCTCTGGAAAGCACCCTAAGTTGCCTATCCGGATATTAGTTCCGAGGTACGCTTCTAGTGGTGTGATCCCCTGAGTTGAACTCGATTCGCAAGTCTATAATGGGCCAGAATCGGGGGGCAACCTTAGCAGGTTGTAAAAATGGCTTGGGAACCCTTTGCTAGAACTCAGCCTCATATAGAGAATTTAGTAAGCCTACCCCGCTAGAGCCATATGGATAACCTAGGAGAACTAGAACGTATGCGGTTAGGATTATTAATTTTCTTTGTATGCTTTATTTTTTTAGTCCAACTTTAAGTCATATTTAATATTATATTTTTTTGACTAATCATTTCAACTAACTTGATTCTTTTTGTCTTGTTTCTACTAACATTGATTTTCTTTTATATGCTCTTATTGCATTTTTGCATATCATATCACATCATAAACGATATTGATTCCCAGATTACCTAGTTATTATAAAAAGAGCTTAAGGCAGCAATGTCTTCCGATGGGACTGAGAATGCAATCAGTGTTCAAACTTGGTACGAGTATGGGCAGACGCGGTTCAGAGACAACCTTGTAACTATCGAAGAATCAGTTTTGCTAGAGAAGGTAATTATCCGAGCCCTGCAGTATGCTCAGAGACTAAGAGAGCAAAGAGATGAGGCTAACTAGGAATTGGCGCAGAGGTGAGTACAAATTGAGCAGCTCGAAGCACATCTATTTAGTATCGATGAGACTTTTCGGAACCCTTACAACAACAATGAGTTTCGTCTTCAAAAAGAAAATGAGATGTTAAAAAGAAGATAATGGAGCTAG